GTAAGAGTGGCGGTTTCTATAAAGAACGTGTTCATAAGATATGATACTAACAAAAAATTTAAAGTTTGCTAATCGCATATTTTTGGTGATTTTATCCCTTACTAAAACAGAATAGGTACATCTTTTCAAATTTTTAATTACTGACATTAAAAATATTATACTTATCATTAACACTAAGTGTAGTTTTCCAACACTAGTTCATAACCATTTTGAAATATATAAGTAATTGCAAATAGAAGTATTTATTGAGAGACAATCGAGGGTGCTTTAGGCAGTTTAGTCTCTCTACAATAGTCAACGGCTAACAACACTCTTAACTGACATCACTCTTATCTGGGTCCCCGGACATAGGAACTCTAAGGGAACTGGTCAGTGTGATATATGTAAGTTAATATATAAAAGTATTTCCAAATAAAAGTATTTATTGAGAATCAATCGAGGAAGCGAAAAACAATTCAGCCTCTCTACAATAGTCGATGGCAAACATCACTCTTAACTGGTATCACTCTTATCTGGATCCTTGGATATAGAACAACTAGAGTAACGAGAGAACTGACGGTTTAGCTTCCTAGGATGCTTCCCTAAAGGTACCAGTTCATGTAATCTTGGAGATCGTTAATAGAAGTGTTTATCTCTGCTTACCTGTAAGTCATGTGCAACTTCCCGGTTAACAGCCTGCAATAAAACTAGATCTTAAGAACTTATCAAAAGGTATCGTGTAAATTCTGAAAGATTTTCAGCAATTCTTTTTGGTCTTTGGTTTATAGAAACAAACTCAGAGAAACTGCGCATTGCTCATAACCCCCATTGCAGAAGTTATGAAAACGTTGAGGAAAAAGAGGCCATAAAAAAATTTCTCTGTGTATGGTAAGGTTTGGCGTCCAGAAGACGATAAGTATTTCTTCGTTAGTGGTAAATACAATTTTATCAATTTTTCAACGTGAAATTGTTCGATTTTTATATTGTACAAATTACAAATAAACAACTTACTTACACTTTTCATATATAACTTAACAGATAGACTATTAGACTGTTTATCGGTAAAAACGAAAGACCTATTAAATTATCGGAATTCAATGGAATGGATTTAGTCTGTATACCTCTTATGATTGCAAACTAAATCTTAGGGCTACTTATAGGGAATGTGATAGTAAAATGGCCAAAAATCGTCCTTTTTGAGGTACACTTAAAGTTATCTGATGACATTCCACTGCCACCAACCAACAAATCAGAACTATTTAATGAGGAAACTAGTAATGGCACTGCATCTTACAATGTAAATGTTTATCAAAGTGAATATCTGTGAATAATCCGCTAGATCAATTTGATCCATTAGAAAATCATTTAACAAATGTTTACAAAAATTTTGAAAAACTTCAAGTTTTCGCATAATTACATTTAATTCGTTTTTAATTATGTCAAATAGCAAAAAACAATTTTGTGATTGAAAGATATCAAGTTGTGAGCCTAATTTAATCCATGTGCTCAAAATAAACTTTCAAGTGAATTTTAATATAGAAAATTTATACCAGCAAAAAAAAAAAAATAAAAACTCATAAAACCAAATGATATAAAATCATAATTTATACTAAACAAAAGGACGAACAACAACAACAACGATGACGACAACAACAACAATTACAGATGCTGTAATAAAATTCAAACGCAAGTAAAACAACAGCTGACGTTTGTAATAAAATGACTTTGTGACAAATTTCACTGTCATTACAAAAATGTTCAAAAAAAAAAACAAAAAAACAAAAAATAAGAAAATAAAACAAATAAAATTATAAAAATACTAAATTTCAAAATAATATTGCGAAAAAAATTTCACAAACTTTTTACCACAAAAATTCCACAAAATGCAAAAACCAAAAAATAAATAGAAAAAAAATTGGAAGAAAAAACTTTCGCAAACTGGACACTGCCAAATGCTATAAAAATTAAAACAAATTCATTCATTAAAACAAACTTTGCAAAAAAAAAAAAAACAAGAATCCTAAAGCAAAAAATATATAAAAATATTACAAACTTTTGTAGCAAAAAAAAAAAATTAAATTCGCATACGGCACACAGATACAGCTCCAAAGTACTTTTGACAATATTTCGGTAGATACTCGTAAAAAAATCAAAAAAAAAAAAAAAAAAAATCATGCGTATATATATATAAGAAGAAAGTAAAATAAAATAAAAAGTAATAAAAATAAAAATGAAATAAATATATGTAACCTAAAAGACATTGCCTAATTCCAGCAAAATAAATAAAAATAAAAACTTTTATTTATTTACTTTGCAACACTTAATCCCAAATCGATTTGTATCTGCAAATAAAGTAAAAGTATCTCATAAAACAGTAAAAGTATATCGCATAAAATGAGAAGATGTACGGCAACCAAATAAGAAATAAGGAAGCAATACAATAATGAAAGCAATAACAACAAACAAAGAGCAGTGCAAAAATAATAAAATAAACGAAAACAAGAAGACAACCTTAAGTAAATAATAAAAATATAAAATAGCAATTGTTTTCCTAATAAACAAACAAGCTCCACAACGACAAAAAAAAAATAAAAAACAAAATAAATAAATAAAACCAATATAAATAAACTAACATACTTGTGTATATAGATTTATTATGAATCTGAAGTATATGTATATGTCAGCAAAGTAAATGTCGTTGAATATTCTAAAGCTTTTACTGCCATTGACACATTATTAGAATAATAGTTCCGTATGTCGTAGCAATTTAAGAGATGTTGAAGACATCACTTACAAGCAAATTGTCTCCTTCAATGAATTTTATTATGTATTTCAGGTATTACCATAAATTTAGTCAATATTAAATAAATATTTACTATTTTCTTAAATAAATTACTATTTTTAATTGTAATATATGTTAGTGGTTTAGAGATTCCAAATATATACAACTCCATCAAAACTATTTCTCCTAACACTACTGCAGTTCGAAATTTTTTTTCCTTCGTCTCCTTTTGAGAAAAAAATCCTTTTCTAACAACTAATTTACTAATATACTTGAAGAAATCAATAATATTCATACTTCATCAATTGAACTGCGTCCCTATGTAGCCAGAGAAATACCTACCATCAGTGCCACCTTCTCTGTGGTAAGTTGATTATTGATTGCAACGGCTGATCAGCAAATTCACCTTTTAATTAAAACGAATATTTGTCATCTAAATACCACATTCGTTATAAAAACCATGATAGATTAGAAATAAGCAGGGTACTAGCTCCAAACGGAGCGAAACACTGCATTCAGAATTAGTCTTTTATGCTGCGAAAACTATGATAAATAAGGTCAGACCTTTTTCCTATGGGCGTTCATCGCAAATAATGTCGCTTAGGCTTTATAATTTTAAATAAGAATACTTTTTGTGGAAAAGACTATGGAACATCTAGTCACCAACTGTGATGCGCTAGATCATAGAAGAAATAAAATTTTAGATGCATACCAACTAGGGGATGAAGACCTTCAAAAGTTCCCTCCGAAAGAGCTAGTTCGATTTCTCAAGAAAAAGTTCTGAATACAAAGAGGTGCATTTTATATAAATGGTAACAATTATTCAAAACGTTTATTTTATGCTTAATGGATACATCAATAAATGAAATTATTGCTTTAGGCATTTCAAACAATGAAAATTTTCTTGTAACTCTGAAACTGTGGTATGTCACAACACTGTGATGTGTCATATAATGAATCTGAATGTGATACGGGCCATTATCTCAGAACGCTAAAGTCACATGATCGCTTTAAGATTTGAATTTGGATATTATGTGGTCTCAAAAGGGTGGTGCCGCAAGCTACAATACATGAAATAATATGTGACATACTGTGATAATATGAATTAGTCTCGAAGATCACATGTTATGCATTTATATGAGTTTTAAAACTTAAAAGCTTCAATTTTTTCTTAATAAGTACTAATATTACTTAACTTATACACTCTTACATAGGATATTCTTTAGTTATTGTTCTTTTGATTAAATTAGAGATCTTATACACTTTACTTAAAGATGTATTTGTTCAAATTTGGTAACTGGCTTTTTTTACTCAATGTTTTTTAATAAACTCCATATCAGTTAAGTAATTCTTATCTTTCAAAATAGTATTAACATATCTTATAAATGGTTAATTGAGTGCTACATGCTCAAAGGGAGAAATTGCTTAAGTGACAAATTACATTAACTATTTACCTTGTTTAGTCCTTGGTCTGTTTTTTTCTAACAATAGTTAAGGTTTACAGTTCCTTATAAAATACAAAACATCCTAACAAATTAAGTTGAAGAAAACCTCATAGTCTGTCATAGTCCTTCAAGAATCTCATATCGTTTTGACAAGCTAAAGACAATGGAAACATCTGACTAACTAACAGGATTCTATCGTATTGTAGTTAATAAACTCAACGAAGGATATATATTTTTGGAGCACTTACAATTTGCTTATGTTAACTAATACTTTTAATTATGAGAATATTTTAACCTTAATTTTACAATATATTTTATTCAATTAACTTAAGATCAATGTCCAAAAGGTATTGTCTTATTGTAAACCTATAAATCTTGCACGCCATTTGTCGACTTAAACCAAACGCAGTTTAATATTTTTGATAATTTTTGTCGCAAGTATATTTATTTTTCTATTTATTCTTCAAATATTCTGTGTTTCTAATATATATATTTTATTAAGAAATATCAACAAGTAACAACATCTAATGCCTTGGACGATTGGGAATGAAATATCATTCGCTTTAATAAAAAGATTTTTTATTTAAAAAGCATTTTTCTATAAACAATTCCAACGACTTTGAAATAATAAAATAGATGTTCCAAGATGTTCCAAGATGTTCCAGAAGTAACTTAAATTTAATATTATACTCGTCCTTTACAATACATATTCAAATTTAATAAAAATCAAAATAGTTTATAAAAATTAAGTATACGTATTTGCAAATCACTTTATATTAACGTATTCATTTTATTATACAATATTATTAAGTAAAATTTGGAAAATAAGTATATCAAAATTCCATGTAAGTACAATTTAACTAAAGAAGAATTTTTATACAAATTACATACTTAAAGTTTCTCTATTTACAATTAAAAAATATGTACCACTGGCCAACGAGTGTCTATAAACTCCACTTATCCTTAAAAGTTTTTCGTCAGTATTGCAGTTACACTTACACCTAACATGTGAAACCCTTAATTAAAATCAAACTGAATGATGATCTGTCTTTTCTGACACCTTAACGTTCGCGCTTTCATCAGCTGCGGCTACCATCGTTTTTGGAATAGTGTTCGCACCAATCGCCGCATCATCACCAAGTTGATTGCTGCTGTTTGTAAACCTGCGATTTCCAATGCCAAACTTCGATGTGTATATGTCATCTGCAGTAAGAGCAGATTCACCTCCAACGCCACGGTCGTTATTACTGCCATTAATTCCGTCACTATCAAAGCTATCGTCTTCGCCTCGTTTCAACCAAATTGGCGCTAAACGCAACATCAGAATTGCGCCCAGTGGCGCTGTGAATATTATAGCTATAACTGAAATGATAAGCACTTGGCTGGCAAGCGAAAGATTTTCCTGGTCGGAATTTAATGATCTCGCTAAGTCCAATGCAATTGGGCCCAAAGCAGCCTGTGAGACGTTAAATAAAATAAAAGAGAAAAAAATCATTTAATTATTATTATTACTAAAAGATGTTGAAAATAAAAAGCAGAAAACAAAAATTTGTCCTGTTTTAGTGGTGCTGGCAAACAATGGCAAAAGAAATTTTATTTTTAATGCCTACTTCTGGGCGTTTCAGTCGGTGTGTGCGTGTGTATGGGTAAAAGCATTGTTGGTTGTGGATAAATGAAGTGTAGATTACACGCAATGAAACTACAGGCACGCATTAAATTATTTTTAAACATTTTTTAATGATGTTATTCCCGAGCTGTCCTTCATGTCACTTCAACTGATGATTAAGTGTTTAGGCATTTTATAAACACTACAATAAATTAATTTACAACTTTTGATTTTTTAAACAATATTTATATTACTTCATATGAAGAGGATATTTTTAAATAATTTCAACTTTTTTTTTAAAGGTAGATTAAGAAATTGTCAAGGATATTTCAAAGTAATTGAAATTGTTTAATTTTCTAATAGGCTTTACAGACACAAATTATATATAAATACAGAACTTTATATTTAATTAAGTTAATCATTAGGCAAACTTTAAAGCTGTTTTGAATATTGCAATAATCATCATCAGTGGTCTCTGGAAATTTTTGAAGATTTTGTAAACCACTAACAAAGACTATATGCCAATATTCAAAACAGCTTTATAGTCAACCCAAAAATTCAATTAAAAATAAAATAATAAAATTTTATATATTTGTGAGCAAATTTCACAATAAAAATAAATAAATTGTTATTGTGACATGAAATTATGTGAACATAAATTATATATATTTAATCGAATTTATTATGAAACCACAAATTTTTTAAAAAGCATATCAACATTGTGGTTTAGACATTCAGACTATATATTACAGCTAAACGCTTTAGTAATGCAAACGTATTGGTAAGAATTATATTGTAATCACACTTAATAATAGAATTGTAAATAGAATGACTTTGCTGATAGTCTTGGTTTAATATAATCTCGAAATTTCTGGATTTGAGATCGCACTCCAGAAATACACAAAGTAGATTGTATAATAAGTTCACGAAAAAATGGATTTTTAATTGGCAAAATGAGTTTCTTCTTCAGTACAAACACAATGAACTTCATTAAACTATACCTATTCTTTTAATTTTTGTACTCCAACTCTGTTATAGTTTTTCGGAAGCCCTACGAATTACTTCATTATGGTGACTTATATGTCTTTGTAGAATGGGGACTATCTCTGCTATTCTTTAGACTATAGCGACTAAGTGATAATTATAATTCCACATTAATTGAAAATATGAATGTTAACACTATGCCTGCATGACTTTAGATGTAAACAACAACCTCCAAGATACTTCTAATATGAAATGAAACCAGTATTCAGCACAACTGAAATTTTGTTTCGAAATTTTGAATTCTTGATCAATCGTGAAATATTTGATTTTCAAAAATGAAAGCTTTCTTGCTACCGATCACACCTCAAGACAGTAAAGTATGGCACCTATGATGCTTGTTGCTTTTTATGACAGACTTGCCTCCCTTCTGAAATATTTTCACTCCCATTTAAGATGGATTTATCACAACAGTATATGTATTTAATGAGTGCAGAAAAAAACAGACAGTATATTTTCTTTTTCTGAGCATGAAACCATTCTGGAACCAAGTTGCAAAGTTTGCTGTTTATGATTTGGTTCAAAATTCCCATAAATGGTGCTTACAAAGTTACATTGGAGCCAAATCCCATCCAAAAAAAATGTTGCTGCAAAGGGTACTGACAAAGGTGCATTCGAATATGTAGCTAATGCCATACTAAATGCTTTTTAAAGCCCGACACTTCACCTAGAACATTACTTTCTGTATCTAATCAGAAAAAAAATGTTGCTCACAATGGTACTGACAGAGGTGCATTCGAAAATGTAGCTAATGCCAAACTAAAAGCTATTTAAAGCCCAAAACTTCACCTAGAACATTGGTTCCTCTACCTAATCAGTACACCAGTCCACATCTTCTACTATATCTTTCTTTTTAAATTGACAATATAACAAGATGGTATCCTATACATTCTAAGGATTTATGATATCAATGAAGTCTTTAAAACTTGTGTGATCACTTTTAAATTAATACTATTAACAGATAGATGGCGCTTCGGGTACTTTTTGAATAATTTAGAAAATTTTTGTATAATATAAACTATAAGATATTAATTTTATTACTCTAGATCGTTCATTTAAAAGCACTTTCGTTACATTAATTCACAACATTGCTTTATCCTTTTAATTGGAACATCACGTCATTCACTTACTGGGGCAAAAAATGTTGAATGAAATATTAAAAAATAATATATAAATTAATATAAAATAATAAGAAAATATTGAATGTGTCAACTTGGGGTTACCAAGTGAAGTAATATTTAATGAAAAATTAATTACATAAAAACAAGCATTTATGTTAAACATCTTGGTTGCCACTTACCATATTTTATCATTTAAAAATTATACCATTAAAATATTTTCCCCATATTTATCTTAAATTCTTATAGTTTTATTTTTAATTCTCTTTTACTAGTCATTGTCCCTTTTAATATAAAAATTCCGCGGTAATTTCTCTGCTTTTAGTTTAATTATTCATAGTATGGATGCTTCATACCAACTTCATTCAATTAAGAAAAACGCATTAAAATTGCTCGAAATTTTCTTTGTCTGCTTCATTTCATTTAATTCCATTATAAATTCTTCCTTTTTTATCCTGCTTAAATTTCTACTTAATATTTTCTCTTTTGGAAAATGTGCCTTGCCTTCTCATCTTCTTCGTCATTAAAAACACATTTAAGCAATTCCATTCATACGTGCTTAAATATGCAGGAATTGATGGTGTGTATGTCTTTTGATTTTATGTATCTCAGCTTTATTTTACATAATTTACATTTTTATCTCATGATACACATATTTCCATTTATTTCTGCCTAATGGGTATTTTTAAATTTTAATGTATTAAACTCACATTGATGCATATTTCTTATTCTTATACATTGCTTTGACTTAAGGATTCGAGTTGTTTCCTTTAAAAGGACTCCATTGAGCACAAATTAAATTATTAATAAATTATTATTCACTATATGTCTTTTGAGCATTTGTACAGCCAGGAAGCAAAGTAGGGAAGATCAGTGAACATTACTTGAAATAAAAATCATTATATTTGAAAAGCATTTTAGGAATTTATATACAAAAAATGGTTTTTGAAATAATTAAAAAATTTTCTTCTGTAACTAAAAACAGGTCCTATTGTTTGACTATGCAATTATCAGTTTCCAATAACTGTACTTGGCATCGACTATTTGTACGGGTGCTTGGGTATATTGTTTCTGACCACCATTTTTAATATAATATATCATTTTTTTCCCATATTTAGTCTGAAGGTGTAACGCCTCTTTATCCAGTTATGCTCACACACATAACATCTACATATATATTATAATATTAACTGTAGCTCTTTACTTTTTTCCAACTTTTTTTTATCTACAGTAACCTTAATAGAGCGGTTTCGAACAGTAATAAATTGCAGTAACAAAATTTTTATTATTTTTATTATTATTATTATTTTTATTATTACTATTATTTTTATTATTATTTATTAATTATTTAAATTTTTTGCTAACGATAAAACTTTTCCAAGTATTGCGAAATACCCATCATTAGTGGTCTTGAAATTATTTCTTATCTTGGGGTATAAAGTCACTGTTAACAACTAAAATTTCAAAGTTGTGAAAGACTTTAATTTTTTTTTTAGAACCAACGTACACACAAGAAAAGACTTTAGCTTAGAGATTCAACGAAAAATCACTTAGAGATTCAACGAAAAATCACTCTTCCCAACAGTAGTTTCTTCAGGCTAAGTAGGCAATTAAGAAATAAAGCACTCTAGACAAAAAAAAAATCATTAATTAACTATCATACCATCAACTATCTTCTCGATTACCAACTCAACTATCAACTATCTTTCAGCTGCTGTACAATGGTATAGTTATAGCTATAATATTTACAACGCCAGTGGAAGCAATTCTGATGTTGCGTTTAGTGCCAATTTGGTTGAAACAAGGTCAAGACGATTGCTTTGATAGTGACGGAATTACTGACAGTAATAACGACCGTGGCGCTAAAGGTGAGTCTGGAACAAGAACTAACAATACAAAAAAGAGCAATGCAGAGAACAGTATTCGTAATATCTGTAATTCTTTATATTGTATGAAATTTACCGCGACATTAATATAGTTAAAACTCAAGTGCTTCGCTGACTTAGTCATATAGTTCGCATATAATAATATGCTCTAGCTAGAAAGGTGTTTGATTGTGTACCCACTGTTGGATAACGTGTCAGAGGATGCTTGCATCTTCCGTAAAAGCACCGATTGACCTACCATAAAAATGCACCCGGTACTACCAACTGGAAATAGCAAGCCACTGATCGGGCTGGCTGACGGTAATTATTGAACGCTGCTAACAAGAACTTATATCTGTAATGCCCAAGTAACTAACTAACTAAGTAAGTTAGAATCACAGAACCTTCTTATATTAATGAAATCATAGTTAGTAGGGATATAGTCTAGTAATAATAGATTATCCAAATAATACTATTATTGGTATATTTAAAGTAAGATTTAATTTAAACGCCAGAGAATTTAATATATCTGAACGTGATTGATCTTTGTGTAATTGTTATGAAACAGAAAATATACGTC